TTGTGATACGAGTGCAAAATCCACACTTTTTGTTGTTATGCATTATTATCTTTACAAAATAACTAGTAAACACACTTTTCATGCTGTTAAATAGTGTGACAGAAGATAACTCGTCCAATTTGAAGGCCAAGGTTTTTCATGTCAGCAAGCTGGCACCGAATTTTCCTAAGTGACACACTACACACATTTTTGCACTTGCGAGCCTCATTTCAAAGGTGGCTTTACTTCATGCTTTCAACAGACAGTATGAATTGAGCCTCAAGCTCACTAAAGTCATCAAAATTCACATTGCAGTGATTTCTGATACTTTTTTCCCTACACTTGAAGGCGCTTTGCCATCCAGTCACCGTGGCAATAAAAGCCCTCCACGCCTGTCCTGACGTGCCGTGTCGAGTCGTGTCTCCTCTCATATCGTCTACTTTTGGTGGGAAATTTTTCTACGAAAAAATCTCCTGAGATTTTGCCCTAGCATGTACTTGTGTGTGTGTTAGTTTCCTAGGGACTGCTACCATGGCGCTGGAGGAAATAGATTTAGTATCGGTGTTACTTGGCTGGTGGTGACCTCATGGTTAGGAAGAATTTGGAAAAAGTGCCGTTTGTTTCTCCAGTGCTTTTTGACTCAAACCACTTGACAATTCCTTTGTGTAGACTTTACTGCGTTAGAGCATCTCAGAAGATCTGAAAGGTCATGTCGTCGAGAAGGGAATACAAGCTTGTGTGTTTAAGTGCACCTTAGACTACCAAATAGCACTTTTCCAGCCTGAATATTGTCTCCAGCGCTCCCTACGACCGCTTGAAACCTCATCTTACAGCGAGACAGAACTAAAATGCTGCGATGGGTCCGTTTCTAAGGAGAATATTGCCTACTAGTGGTGGTATTTGCTGAAGGTCTGGTCTGGATTTCGGTGAATACCATCTGCTCCAAGGTGAACCATTTCGTAGAGATGTTCTTCAGTGATAGTACTATCCCTACCAGGCGCAATCTCCATTGACGACATCCTAAAGGCAAGAGGGGGTGAAAACGTACCATGCCTCATAACTGCGGTTGGGAACTTTGTGATCGGAAAGTAAAATAAGCCATTCGCATGGATCATTTCCAATTCCTTGAATCCTTTAATATCGGCCATTGCAAATGTCTCAAAGCTTGGAGCCTATCGAAGTTGGACGCAGGTTTAGTCCCTCTACGGTAGATCTCTGTAGATTTAGTTCTCCTCAATTAAAACCCCTTAAACTCTTTTCTTTCCTATGTAACTCTACAATCAATGGGTTTGAAGTTTACCACACGGGGTGTCGAGTCTCCCGAGGTGGTGTTTCTGCTTGGCAGTGGCATAGTAGATTGTGAGCCAAGTCATTTTGAATTTGAAAACTCGTAATTTCTTAAAAGGTTTGAAGAAATTAACTGTGTGGAAAATAGCAGACTTAATTTGCCATCAAATGTCCCATGAAATTCACAGTACGACAACTGACTAGGTCACATGTTTCATTTCTTATTAAATGACAGGGCAAGAGAAGACAACTGCCGAGGCGTTAAAGGCACATTTCACATTACTACAAATTCAACAGAGCTACCTGAATGTCACATCACGAAGGAACTGGCCTGCTATCCAATTAGGTCGAAGGCACCACCACCAATAACACTGGTGGCCAGGTAAATGGTTAGTCTGACCACCACCTTACTCCTGACGATAAGACAACTGTAGACGTGAAAACATCCATTATGGAAGCATAAAAGGGCAAGTACAAAGTACAGCAACTAGAAGATCAGCATACACAGAGCTAAATTTAGGGCAGTGTCATAAGCAGTAAAAATATTTTACTGATGATGTTATAAGCCTTGGGAATATGCTTTTAGTGTAAACAGAGGGAAGAGATGGGGATTAAATTCGGAGTTCCACCAGAAAGGCTTCACCATAACGACGGGGCGAATAGTTGGCATAGATGAGAGCTAAAACCTTCTCACACACTTTTTTGGTTATGATTCTGCCATTTTTGTGAAACAGCTCCGCGGTTGCTGTCATCGGTCCATTCAGCTTGAGAGTTTGAGGACCTCGTTACTCATCACATCAACACTATCGTAAAACAACGCATCATTTTTTAACACAAACAACTTTATGACAGTGCCCCCACGCCGAGGAATATGAAGTTGCTTCTCCAACACATTACATGCCAAATGTATATATGGCATACCTTGGCAGGGCTTGCGAACTAGAATTGGAGCCATCGTACTGAGTGAGACTATTCCAACGAAACGCAAAGAGTTAACTGACTCGTAATAAAAATGATCTTAACAGAGTAACTTAAGTTAAAGCAACTGATGCATCACAGATTATTCTAAAATTATCTTTTTACTCAGCACCCATCCCTCGCCTTCTAAAACAAGCACTACGTCATCCCTAGAAATGTAAGTGCTTTGAGTATGGTCTGCGATGGTTGTAATATTTCCCCATGAGCCTCGTAATGCAGGTCAGCAACTGCAGCTAAGCTTCGCCAACTCAATGCGCTATAACTCGAAGTTGTACAAGACAAAATTTTTATTGAGAGACAATTAGGGGTAATGAAACGGTAGAAAGATGGTCCACTTCTCCCGAGACAGCTAGAGATTTCACGGCTCCTGGGACGAGGGGGAGGAAAACACTATCTTACCTCACTCTCTAAAATTCTGTAAGTTAATCTCAATATCACTGCCTACTCCCGACGTGATTTACAGAGAGACTGCTGCCCATTAAAACACGTTAAATCATTCGCCGTGTAAGTAATCTTTGTTTTACACTGAAGTGGGAAATTAGCGTTAACTATGAGTGCTAGACAAATACTTATTAATATTTTCAAAGAATTTCTGCACAGTCACTGGTTTTAGGTCCTTATTGACTCTTCCTCAAGGCTAAGTAAATCACTCCACTGTCTGGGAACCCCAGTGAATCCGTGTCAAATCACCCAATCATATGAAGAGTTCTCTTAAGTCATACAAGAGAGACAGAAGGCATGACTAGACTGACGCTCCAGAGGGTGATGAATTTTCACGCATTTTTCTCAGTGTTTGCACGCAGGACATGTGTGTGTGTCCTGTGCTGTGCGTGTCGGTGCAGATTGAATGTGATTGGCCACTTGGTGGATGTATCAGTAGGGGTGGGCGGATTTTGACCTTCTTTTTTTCAAAATATTCTTGAAGCACCCCTCGGATAACATACTTGTGGAAGGCGTCGATACCTCAAGACGACGGTGAGATCAACACGGTGCCTCTTACAGACTCGCGCTATGCGTCAAGTGAGGTAAGATGAAAAAATTGTGTTGAGGCTTGAAATTTCAGGATTTGGATTCTCAATTTTCTTAAAAAATGGGATTATTTAATCGCCCTGTAATTTTGGGTAAATTTGTTTGCATTCCAAAAATATTTTGCAAACTAAGCGTTCAAGAGACAACTAACCTGATTTTTGAAGTAAGCTATTCTTCTGACATGTGATGGACGTTCGTCCTTGTTAACTATTCCTCAGTTCCTAAAAATAATCAGCTGGTTTACAAATGGATGCTTCTGTAGAACACAAAAGCCCCAGAACTCTTCAATACGTGACGAAGTACCATAACACAAAGCTCTCACCTTCGTCTTCCCTTGAAATAGGACATTTTTGAGTACTTTTATTATTTATATATGTCTGCTCAAAGAAAGACGAATTAAAGTTTGACATCCCAATTAAGCTGTCGAGGTGTCTCATCACATTTTGATCGCCTTGTGACTTTTCAAGAAAGCTATTTCTGACATTATTTAAAAATACTGCTTTCAATTTTATCCTAATCCACTTTGAGAGCAGATAGCTGAACTGCAGTATAGCTGTAAAATTTGTTTTCACTTCCCACCAAGGAGTAGTTTCATGGGTATTCCAGTTCATTAACCTGCCTAAGTGACCTATCAAAATAGGAGGCAAAATAGGTCAAGGTCAGATGACACAATTGAGTCAATTAAACTTTTCGACTTTAAAACCGAATGGAAACGACGATGTGTTCGATTAGGCTACCTTATTTTGGTTTCGAAATTCAATCTCTTCAAAAACTCTTGTCCTTTTAATATACGAGCTTTGTAGATCATTTTAAATGAAATTAATAAGCCTGCAAGTAAACAAACATGGCTGCATTTAAATTTAATCCACAGATCTTTTCAACTACGTACCATCATTACATAAAATACGCCACTCTTCTTCTAAGCTGTCAAGGCTAATTTAAAATCAACGCACGATGATATGTTGAAATGTTTAAAAAGAAGAAATTTTCCAATTTTCCAAACTATAGTTATTGCATCTTTTCAAACACTAGTCAAGCGTGGTAACGAAGTCATTACTTCAACACCTACAAAACGCCTTCTCATCGTCTGACCTCTAACTGATTCAATTTGGGTCGAATTCGTTGGCACCGATGAGGGTTTGCGATGTGTTTGCATCTGTTCACGATCAAGCACAAGAAAAAGGCGAAAACTTTTGCACAAATTCATTTAGCCAACGGGGTGATTGGTGGTCCTTGCTCTAGCATCTAGGTCCCGTAATGGGCGCAGCGAGACCACCCTGTGATGGACATTGGGTTCTGCGCTTTTAAACTTTTGCTTCAAACCCACTAGAGGTTGTTTCCAGTCCTTTGCAGTTTTACCCGCATTACCAAACTGAAGCGGCTAAATTAACTGATCTCTCCAAATGATTATGGAAGCATTTCGTATTTACTAAGACGCAGGCATTTTCCAGAGCCAAAATTTCTTCTAATAAATTCGCTGAAAATTTGTGAAAAAGTAATGCTTATTTTTATGGGAGACATTCATACTAAGTAAACTTGTTGGCTGTGCATATTATTTCCGTCAGGAAAAAAGCTCAAATTTCCCTGCAGTCAGTAGGAATTTTGAGACCTTGCCAGCTCTGCCTTGCATTCTACAAACATATTCATATTACTGCACTAGGATACTTTGTTTTCTTAATGGAAGGAAAAATTTTTCTGATATTTGGAACTGCTAATTCCATTTCAGAATGCCAAATGACCTTCAGGCCTCCATCCTCGCCCTAATTCTCGCAGTACTTCTGCCTCCGATTTTCACATTCCCTCCCCATTTCGTCACCCCATCACCTGCCATTCTCAGACGCATTCTTCGAGCTCCCCTGCCTGGACGTCTAACCACTCCTAGCGCCATCACCTTTCACAAACTTAGATCCGTCACCCCACAGCTTAGTCCTCTTGAAATGGCAATCGACTCGACTTTCGGCTTCGTCGCTAGTGAGGAGGCCTCAGAGGCGGCCTGTCAACGAATTTCAGGGCTATCCAATCACCAGCGCAACCTCTGTCGAAGAAATCCGGGTCTGATTTGGGCTCTGATTGATGGAACCCAATTAGGACTGTACGAATGCGTACATCAATTCAAGCATGAAAGATGGAATTGTTCAATGGCTCGGGTGATACTGGGTAGACCGCAGAGTGAAGCGCTTCCACTGAGTAAGGATCCCTCACCGACCACGAACCTTATTGGCGAGCTCCAGAAGACTCTGGAGAAAGGTAGGACTTGTTCACCTTCTAAAGCCTTGTCACCGGCTACTGCTGAGTAACTACAGTGTCGAAGAACTTTTAAGACTTTACCGAATACCTGGAAATTCACATGGTTATGGATAAAGTGTAGGTGAGGAAGCATGTTAAATGGTCCCCGTAGGGGATGTCAAAAATAAGTGACTTCAGATGCATAGCTTGCGATTCAAAACTGATTGGAAAACGTTTTCCTTTCAAGGCGAATCACTCAGGGACAAATGCTTTATGCTCCTGGTGGGCCAACTATCCTTGATGGTGAAGAATTACAAGTTGCTTGTGACAGGTTAATTTCAACACTTAGCGAGGGGATTATTTGACTGATTGCCACCCAACGATTCACTCATAAGGTCATTCCACAAGAGGATGGCAGCAGGATGTGATGGCCGATAGAATCGCAAAGGGCCAAACCATGATCCCCGTACCAAATGTCGAATTCGTGGAAGTGATCAGCACTTGTCATTACCGTTTAACAATCACGGGCAAAACCGAGGAGATAGTAAGCGAATACAAACAGGATTTTATTGGCATCTAGAGTAATCTAAATAGTAATTTTGAATCTCAGCAAAAACGTGATCAAATGGGATGTTTTGCAATGCAGTGGTTCGATATTTTTCGCTCTTTTTTCTAACATAAACACCGCTTCATGCCCCGTGGATGCCTGTGATTGCCTAATTCATTAACCTCGCTGTTTCACAGGTCATGATGCCTCCGATTCCCATTAAAACTGGCACACATGGATGCCGACTCAGCTGTCGCTGTGTTTACACTCAGCCGAGGGCTTCTTGTGCGTAGAAGAGTGAACAAATGAATAAAACATTGAATGAACGAACAAGCGATTGAAGCCATTCTGAATGGCGACCATAGCCATGAGAAAAATGAGCCGAATTAGGTTAGGTGCCGGCCTCGTTAGAGAATCAAAGTGGGAGACGCTTCATTATGGCATTTTTCTAGGTCGGTGCCTAATTGGCTCTATTCAACCAAAGGCACTATATACTACTTAAATACTAATCAGTCACCTCGATAATGATTTTGAAAAGGTTTATGATAGTCATTCCGATCAAAGAGGAAATGCTGCGCTGGTTAAATAAATAGACACCTTGTTAAATCCTTTTGGTTAGGTAGAAGACTTCTCCACTTTTTAGCATTCTTTTCCCAGATTTGTAAGGAGAAATGACTTTGTACTGCAATAATCAT